TTTATTTATTTATTTGAGAGAGAGTAAGCGAGAGAAAGAGAGACCACAGGCAGGGGGGAACAGCATGCAGAGGGAGAGGAGAAGCAGACTCCCCACTGAGCAGGGAGCCCGATGCGGGGCTCAATCCCAGGACCCCAGGATCATGATCTGAGCAGAAGGCAGACGTCTAACTGACTGAGCCACCCAGCCTCCCTAAACCACTTCTTTAGCCATTCATCTATTGATGGACATTTGGCTGCTTCTATAATTTCGCTATTGTACATAACACTGCAGTAAACATAGGGGTGCAAATATCCTTTTGAATTAGTATTTTTGCATTCTTTGGATAAATACCCAGTAGTGCAATTATTGGATCATAGGGTAGTTCTGTTTTAACTTTTTGAGGAAACTCTGTACTGTCTTCCACAGTAGCTGTACCATTTTGCATTTCCACCAACAGTGTAAGAGGGTTCCTTTTTCTCCACATGCTCACCAACACTTGTTGTTTCTTGTCTTTTTTATTTTAGTCATCCTGACAGGTGTGAGGTGATACCTCATTGTGGTTTGATTTACATTTCCCTGATGATGAGTGATGTTGAGCATCTTTTCACATGTTAGCCATTTGTATGTCCTCTTTGGAGATATGTCTGTCTCTACATGTTTTCTGCCCATTTTTTGGTTGGATTATTTGTTTTTTTGGTGTTGAGTTGTATAAATTCTTTATATATTTAGGATACCAACCCTTAATTGGATACATCATTTGCAAATATCTTCTCCCATTCCATAGGTTGCCTTTCAGTTTTGTTGGTTGTTTCCTTGCTGTGCAGAAGCTTTTTATTTTGATGTAGTCCCAGTAGTTTATTTTTGCTCTTGTTTCTCTTGCCCCAGGAGACATATCCTGAAAGATATTGTTATGCCTGATGTAGGAGAATAATTTTTTTTCTAATAAGTGCATAGAGCTTTCCTGAAACGGATGGTGAATCAATTTCTTATTAGTTTGGCAATGTTTATAAGGTGTTCCTTGTCTGTGGACTTAAGATCAAAATAATTATTTTCTCCTCTTTTCTACTTTTAACAGAAACCAGGAGCTGAAAGAACTTGGTGAGCTGTCTCCACACTGGGACAATCTACGGAAAAATGTCCTTACTCACTGTGATCAAATGGTGAATATGTACCAAGATATTCTGACAGAACTTAGCAAGGAAACAGGTATGAAAGCAGTAACTTTTTTACATATTCAAACTAAATTGTATTTCAGGTATGTTAGGTGAAAACAGTAATACACATTGTTGTTATGGATATAGAAGAGCCAAAAAAGTTTTTTATAAACTTTTTATATCTCATTCTACCATCTTGGCATGATAGACCATGAAGAAACAAATTGCACTATTTTACCTCATGGGATTATTATAAGAACAACTAAGAATTTTTTAAATTGAATTTCTGTAAAGAAAAGCAGCTTTATACAGGATATATTTTTTCTTTCTGAAATCCTTGTAACATTTTTCCGTGTCAAACACACTTTTCAATATACATGCACACACACATTTATTATTTATTTACTATTAATGTTCAATTCTTTTCCTGCCTAGGGTCCTCTTTCAAATCAAGCAGCAGCAAAGGAGAGAAAACATTAGAATTTGTTCCGGTAAATCTACATCTGCAAAGAATGCACGTACACAGCCCTCACTTGAAAGGTAGTGTATATAATATTCTTTTTTAAGTGGGCAAATTATGTTAGTGTGTACTTTTTTAAAAAGCTTGACTATTGGCAGAATTTAAAATTTTAGAATTAGGTAAAGATCAAGATGAAACAATTAAAGTTGATCATGACCCTGAATACTACAAAAGGGGCTATAGCATTTTTGTTGCTGTGTTTCTGAACAATACTTTAAAAATGTGGCACCTGAATAAAGTTACAGGTGAATATGCACAGTAAGTGTTAACTTCCTTAAGTAGTATCATTGATGGCTGATAACTGTGCTAGTGTTTGAATTAAAAAAAAAAAAAGAAAGAAAACCAAGACTTGTTCATTTTGTGCTTATCCTGAAAAATCAAAACCCAAAGATGGACTCATAGGCCACTTTTCTGACTTCGTGGTGACTATCAACAGTCACCCCTGTCTCTATGAGAAGGGAATTTATCAGAAAAAAGGTGGTAGAGTATCTTACTGTACTTAGACGTGAGAAACATTTTTCAAGGAAAAGTGTATAGATTTTTTATAAACTACTTCAGTAAGGTTTATAGTGAATATCAGTGAATATCATATTGTATTCCTTGTCTCTCTACATAATTTCCTGCTGTTTCTTAGTAAAGTATACTTTTAAAATATTCTTCTCATCTCCCTTTTCCTTTAACTTATTGCTACATCAAATTTTGTGCATAAGTAGGGTGATTATCTGCCTCTATTCACACACAGCCAAAGTCCCATATTATGCTTTTTGTGCCTCGTCGTTGTTAACAAAGCTCTTCACCTCTCTTTCCTCTCAAAAGTCTCTCTGTTTAATGATAAATATTATGGTCATCCTACTAGTACCCATCTTCCTAGGGAGCCAAAAGTTACTTTAGATCACCCAGTCCTCCATAAGTGTATGGATATGCAAACATACACAGATACATCTAAAGACTCAGGCTAACACCTTATTTTGTAGCCATTGTCATAATATAGAGGTTCTAGGTTTTAAAAAGTTAAAATCTATGTTCTGCTTTAGAATCATCTGAAGTTTTACAACCAGAAAAATTAACCATTTTTCTGAGTTTGTGCATACAATTTTGTATATACAACCAGCTAATGTGCAAGCTTAAGTGTAGTTATGTCATTCTGATGTATAATTTTAATACCTTTAGTAACCCTTATCAACTATCTGAAATTTTAACTTGGATCCTTTTCACCAAAAATTATGTCAATGAAAGAACTGAAATAGAAATGAGATGGATTGTCCCAAAGCATTTAGGAGATCTTCCTTGATTACTGAGTATCTGTCAGTAGTTTGAACATAACATCTAATGGTTTTAAAAATCATCAAAACCAAAGTATCAACAAATAATACAGAAGCTAAAGTAGGTAAAATCTGTCTGACAATCAATATAATTTTTTTTCTAATGACCAATATGAAATGACTTTAATGATAGAATAAAAAGTTTATATATTTTGGAGTGAAACAGAATTTCAGCTTTATCACTTTTTATATATGACCTTAATTCTGTTATTTAATCTTTCGAAGCAAGTTGTTGTCCTCCCAACTAAGTGAATTAGAATATGTAAAACACCTAGAATGAACAATAATAGCCATTATGATACAGGTAGCATTTGCCATCACTGGAACAAAATGGATCTTTCAATTTCATCAGGGCTGTTAAAAGGAGAAAAGTGATCAGTTAAGAACCAATTAAGGGACAATGAAATCTTGAACCAAGAAGTACCCAAATTTAGAGAAAAGATGATTTAGAAATGCATTTTGGAAAAATTATCATATGCAAGTACTTAATGACTGATAGACTGAAGAAATGAGAGAAGGCTAATGTACAGTACAGCCATGGATGGATAGCATATCATCAAACCAGATGGCTTGTTGGGGCCAAATTGTTATGAATATATACTTAAATATGCATTCAAGTATTTGGCAATTATCCTAAAATACTTCCACCAAACAAAGAAAAATTATTTTCTAAGTGACCTCTTATTATACTTATTTCTTGAAAACAAAACAAAAACAGAAGCATTTGTGCTCTTCTTTCCAAGATGCTATCTGAAAAATAGACTAGAGTGAGCCAGGATGAATACAATGTGTTTAGTTTCTATTTCTCCAGTTCGAAAGAGAGAAACTGGCAATGAAAGAAATTTAGAAAAGCAAACATAATTTCTCCTACTTAGTTTGGTTTAGGATATCTATCAGTTTCCTAAAGCTGCTGTGACATTACTACAGACTGGATGGCTTAAACAACAAAAATGTATTGTCTCACAATCTGGAGGCCAGAAGTCTGAAATCAAGGTGTCAGCAGAGGAGTGCTCCGTCTGAAACCTATAGGGGAATTCTTCCTCACCTCCACCTGGCTTCTGATAGTTTGCTGGCAATCTTTGGTTTTCTTTGGTTTGTTGATGCATCCTACCAATCCTCCATCTTCACAGTATTCCCCTGTGCATCTACATCATCTCCTCTGTGTCTGTCTCTGTGTTCAAATTTCCCCCTTAAGGACACCACCATATTGAATTAGGACCTGTCCTACTGGCCCGATTTGAACTTGATTACATCTGTAAAGACCATATTTCCAAATAAGGTCATATTCTAGGATATCTTTCTTGGGGAGCATAAATCAACCCATAATAACAAGATATATAAAGGAATTTCTTCTTTGTGATGACAAATATCAAGTAGTGTAAACAAAAGCAAAATTTTGATGTTACAGAACTAGGGTACAACTCTTAAACTAGAGGATTTTTGACATAGCACTTTTCAGAAAGACTTCTTCTTTTTGAAGATGTAAAGGAGAAAATGTGGGAAAAGACTAGATATCTTAATGGCCAAGAATTAATGCAAAGGTACTGAATTCTACTGCATACTGATTTTTTCCCCAAGGTTATGTAAGATATATATATATATATATATATATATATATATGTGTGTGTGTGTGTGTGTATAAATATGTATACTGTATATATATATAATTTTATATACATTATATATACTTTTATATACATTATATATATGATATACATATCATATATATATTGAATATTAAGCTTCTATGTTTTAAAAATATTTATGATTTTATAATTAAGTTTAAAATTTATTATTTGAGATTGGAATTCAGATAAAGTAAGTTCTTATAGACTATATCACCAACTATATGTTTCAATAGAAATTGAAAACTTGACTGAATTTTTGGGGTCCTGACACTTATTTCTTAGACATTGACCAAGTTAATAACTTTTCTGAGCATTGGTTTTGTTTGCAAAATAAAATGGTTAAAAGTTGTATATGGCAGTCAGTCAAATTTCTACTTACTTATATAACATGTATTCAGCACGTTAAATGAATTGCAGTTAAATTTATTTAAGATCCATGGTTACTGATTTGAATGTTTAGCTGAATTACAGACAACATTTTACAAGGTAATGATGCAAGTAAGATTGGCCAAGCCTTGGTATTTCACTGGTGAGTTATTTGGATGTAGTCTAGATTTATTTTCATTCTTACCATTAGTAAATTACATCAATCTGCATTTGATTAATATGCTGCTATATTTGGAGAGGCAGCTTTGCAAATAATATGAGGCAGATTCACCAAATACAAGGCTAATATCTAGCTCTAGAAACAAGTAACTGAGCAGAACTAATGTTGTCATGTCTCATACTGACAAATGAAATAACCTCCATTTAATGTCAGATGCCCCCAGACCCATTAAGTTAGTTTTTCACCCTTATTCATTACTTAAATTAAATGCAACAAATACAATCCCAATAGAAATCTTAGACAGCAGTGACAATAACAAAGACAAAACCCTGAATTTAAGAACACAATTTTCCACCTCAAATCTTATTTTCATAGAAAGTTAGTTATGAATATTATAAAATTACGGGTTCTTATAATATTATGCTATGTTTAACTTATTTTATTTTATGTTATAGATATATAATAGCATATTATAATATATAGCAAAGAGAGAGAGACAGAGACAGAGAAAGATAGAAAGAAAGAGGAAAGAAAGAAAAGAAAGAAAAAACCTTCTACAGTATATCATCAAGCTATAGTTGGAATCAGGTGCAGCATAAGCCAGAATTTACTATGTAAGTATGGATGAGTCAGCTAACCTCTCTGCCCTTTAGTTTTCTAATCTCCACACTGAGGGAAGGAGCAAATGAGGAGCTGTTTAGAACTCCATGATTTCTGTATCTTGAGTTTGGGTATATCACCTCATCAATGAAGTATAATTACTTTTAGATATGTTTCATGATGTTGCCAAATTGTTGTGACTATTTTGAAATAGATTTCCCTTAAAATTCCTTATTGTTTTGTGATTCATGTCAAAGTCATTTTGTGGGCCATTTTGAAGTCAGGGATTATGCTTAAATTGTTCCTTGAAATGAGATCAGCATGTCTACTTTTTTTTTTTTTCATTAGCACTATTTTTATAGTTGTAGGAATTTTAAAAAGATCTTCTGGGAAAAAAAATAGACTTATTATCTCATATCTATTATTAAGTGGCTTTTTAAAGGCTATGAGGCAGCCCTATTATTAAATTTCAAACCAACCTAGTATCTTTAGCTTGATGAGATTCAACAACTTGAATTACACTCCCTCGTTATGCTGTGTATGATGCCATTTTCACAAAGCCAAGGACAATTTTTGAGATATAAACAATCAAAAAAAGAAGACACACAGATTATATTATTTTAAGGAAGAAAAAAGGACCTCTGATTTTTTTTTGCTCAAATTTTCTGTAAAATAAATGCCCACCTATATTTTTATAGTTATTTCTTAGTACCAAAAATCTGAAAGCTTTTATTCTATACAGTTAAAGACTGGATGTCATAAAGGTACAAAATTTAAACAGCAGGATAGAATGAGGAAAATTTTTAAATGAGACAAATATTACTGATCAGAATGTTATCTTAGAATTTTATTTTTTATTGATTATTTGTTTTGTTTTTGTATATGCTTAGTCTTAGAGGAATACAATAAATTTCAGTTAATTC